AGTTACACCTGCGAATATAGGTGTTTCCGTCTGCTCTAACAACTGCTCTGTGTTCCCTCCCTGACTTACAGTAACCTGTGGCGTGTCTCTGTCAGGTGAAACTCTTCTGGGACCATCATTAAGCCCTTAACTGTTCCCCTGGCAATACTTGACGACTCATGTAGCAGCTAGCCAACTTACTCTCCTTGACTTCTCCCTGACTTCTCCTTGACTTCTTGACTTCTCCCTGACTTGCATTAACTTGGATCGTGTTTCGTTAAGTGACTTAATTTCACCTCTGATTGTTTTCGCTTTTCCTTGTCAGCGTCTTGATGCTGGTGAGGGGCTCTTGATCCACGCATCATCATGAGCGTAATACTAACACGTAGTCTTCCTGTGTGCACACAGGGTGGCGAGAACGGGTTCCTTTCTCCCGGCAGCCTCCGACACTCCCTCGCTGACGACGCGTGTTCGGAGATCCTACGACTAGACCAGAGGGACGCCGACGACCACAAACATACGACTCTCTCCAGGCTTGTCTCCACACTCCAGGTGGGTCTAGGTCAGCATGTTCATGTCGGGTGAGTCCAGAACAGGTAGGTAGGTAAGTCCGGATCAGGTCGGTCCAGATCAGTTCGGTGCAGATCATATTATGCAGTCTTTTACTTTCATCTTTCTAATGTCACTGTTGTGGTAGGTTTGATGTCGTCTTCACTCTGCCAGCAATATCGTTTCCAAATTGCATTTTCTCCCTCCATCCTTCTTCTTAGATGTTTATTTCTGGCTCGTGTAACTCTCACTTTTCTCTTTCCATCCATGTTCTAAAGTGTTAATTTCTGGCTCTTCTGACTGTTTCTTTCTTTTATGGCTCTGACTGAGTTATATTACCACATGCTACAATTCGGTCGCAGCTGAAAGTTTCTAAATCATGATTTTGTACCACAATATCTGTCAGCACCTGTTGTTTAACATTTCGAACTACTGGTTAAGCTGTAAATGAGTGTCTGATACAGCAATATTGTGCCGTGTATGCCTGCATCCTCCCCTATATTCAGTAGATATAAATCAGGCTGTCTCTACCCAGCAGACTGTCCATACCAAACAGGCTGTACCTACCCAGCAGGCTGTACATACTCTTCCCTCTTCACCCTGCTTCCCTTATGCCCTTCCCCTCCTCATCTGGGACACATATCTCTGGTCGATAATCATTCTCTCCATCGATTACCCCCACTCATGCAACTGCCCCTTTCACCGCTCTTGTAATTCCCCCTTCCCCTCCCATTATATATTATTGCTCAGAGGAAGACTGTAGCTTGTTTAGCTTCATTTAAGGTGGTTATGGCACAGGTCTGCTAATTTTACACTAGTTTCTCATTCACTATACTTGAATAATAATAATAATAATAATAATAATAATAATAATAATAATAATAATAATAATAAGAAGAAGAAGAAGAAGAAGAAGAAGAAGAAGAAGAAAGAAGAAAAAGAGGAGGAAGAAGAATAATTAGACAACCCAATAGTCAAACAGAGTAGCCTGTTTCCATTGAGGGTTCTTTCCTGGTCCTTCCCCAGGATGCAACCCACAGCAGTCAACTAACTCCAGGTATCTATATACGGTTAGACACCAGGTTCAACAGATGTTTGGAGGCCTTTCCCAGGAGAGGACCGTGTCTACCAGGAGAGGACCGTGTTTACCAGGAGAAGACCGTGTCTACCAGGAGAGGACCGTGTTTACCAGGAGAAGACCGTGTCTACCAGGAGAGGACCGTGTCTCAGGAGAGGATCGTGTCTACCAGGAGAGGACCGTGTCTACCAGGAAAGAACCGTGTCTATCAGGAGAGGACCGTGTCTACCAGGAGAGCACCGTGTCTACCAGGAGAGAACCGTGTCTGCCAGGAGATGACCGTGTCTACCAGGAGATGACCGTGTCTCAGGAGAGGATCGTGTCTACCAGGAGAGGACCGTGTCTACCAGGAAAGAACCGTGTCTATCAGGAGAGCACCGGTCTACCAGGAGAGCACGTTTCTACCAGGAGAGAACCGTGTCTGCCAGGAGATGACCGTGTCTACCAGGAGATGACCGTGTCTACCAGGAGAGGATTATGTCTACCAGGAAGGCTTTAACCTTGAACACCATGATGAACCGGTCTGAGACGCTTTTCTTTTTCTAATGACTTTGAGTTTGTCTCTCTACGATCTACGTTGCTGACCATTACTCCCGAACAGTCATTCGTTTTAATATATTTTCGTTACTGTAAAGGAGGTTAAGATAAATTATTTTATGCTGATTAATCTAAATTTACTAACATTGACCCGACAATGATCAAATGACAGGCCAGGACACCAGTACTCACAGTAGGTGGCCAGGCCACCAGTACTCACAGTAGGGGACCAGGCCACCAGTACTTACAGTAGGTGGCCAGGTCACCAGTAGTCACAGTAGGTGGCCATACCACCAGTAGTCACAGTAGGTGGCCAAGACCCATGTACTCACAGTAGGTAGCCAGGCCACCAGTACTCACAGTAGGTGGCCAGGCCACCAGTAGTCACAGTAGATGGCCAGGCCATCAGTAGTCGCAGTAGGTGGACAAGACCCAAGTACTCACAGTAGGTGGCCAGGCCACAAGTACTCACAGTACGTGGCCAGGCTACCTTTAGTCACAGTAAGTGGCCAGTTTCTTTAGTCACAGTAGGTGGCCAAGACCCAAGTACTCACAGTAGGTGGCCAGGACACAAATATTCATAGTAGGCGGCCAGGACACAAATATTCATAATAGGTGGCCAGGACACAAATATTCACAGTAGGTGACCAGGACACAAGTACTCGCAGTAAACTTCTCATAATATTACTGAGGGAGGGGGATACTTTGATGGTTAATGAGGTTTACAACCTATCTTCTACTGGGTCATCACCAATCAAGAACACTTTAATCTCTTTACAGGATTATCCTGGAGTCCTAACCCTTCGGTGTAATAAACCAGGCAAAAATCTTTCTCTTACCCGGTCTGTGCAATGTTTGAGTTACTGCTGTGAATATTGTGTTGGAGACGCTGGTGTTCTGTGAGGCGAGGCTGGCAATATAGTGCAGCTGTGACTCTCAACATCTTCATATCTCTCATTTTAACTAAGTTTTTAGTCAGGCTTTGCATATATAGTATATAAAACGTTTACAGTAGTCTCCAAAACACACAGTTCCTTCACACACCAAGAGCCGAAGTGTCTGATTTTGCTGGATTTTCCTAGAGTCAGTCTCCTAAGGGTAAGATTAAATACTAAAGTGCTTTGTCTTTGCCCATAATATCCGTGTAAGCAAGTTTATTCAGGTACAGTTACTCATAAATGCAGCCAAATAAATTATCATACATAGCAGCACATGTATAGATTACCTAGGATAGCCCCAAAAAAGTCAAAGTGACTTATTTCCATTTGGGTCCTTGTGTGCTCTCAAGACCATAGTGAAAAATAATATGTTATGTACCCAGTACTTACATAAAAATTTACTGAGTGATGTTTCACCCCACTACGAAGATTAACATGATTTTATTTAATTTAAATAACCCGACAAAGCCAAGCTCATCAGAATGTTCATCTCCAATATAGCAGAGTTTTTAAAGTTTGGGTAGATTCATGCCATGGAGAACACCAGCCATACAAGCCTAGCTCTAAGTCACTGCTTCTCCTGCAACCGCTACCCCGGCACCGAAGCAGCTTTAAAATGTAGTTAGAAAAGACATGTTTCCTCAATAAATGTCTCAGTACTCTATACTTGTAGGTGTTAATGACCAGTTTTGACGACGGACCGAAGCAGCCACATCTCTATTACTCCCTTCGAGGCCCATATGAACTGGCCGCAGGCAAACTGACGTATGAACTACAGTCCGGGTGGTCAGGTACTGGCTTTAGATGCCTGTCCAGTGCCTTCTTGAAGACAGTCAGGAGTTTATTGGTAATCCCCCTTATGTATGCTGGGAGGCAGTTAAACAGTCTTGGGTCCATGATACTTATTGTATTGTCTCTCAGTATACTCGTGGCGCCCCTGCTTCTCAGTGGGGAAATGTTGCATCTCCTGCCGAATCTTTTCCTTTCATAGTGAGTGATTTTCGTGTGAAAGTTTGGTACTAATCCCTCTAGGATTTTCCAAGTGTATATTATCATGTATCTCTCTCGCCTGCATTCCAGGGAATGCAAATCAAAGGACTTCAACCGTTCCCAGTAATTTAGGTGCTTTATCGTACTTATGTGTGCCGTGAAAATTCATTGTACACTCTCCAGGTCAGCAATTTCGCCTGCCTTGAAGGGGGCAGTTAGTGTACAGCAGTATTCTAGACTAGAGAGAACAAGCGATTTGATGAGAATCATCATGGGCTTGGCGTCCCTAGTTTTGAAGATTCTCATTATCCATCCTATCTTTTTTCTAGCAGATGCGGTAGATACATTGCTGTGGTCTTTGAAGGTGAGATCCTCTGACGTTATCACTCCCAGGTCCTTCACATTACTTTCTCGCTCTATTATATGGTTAGAATTTGTTGTATACCCTGATGCAGTTTTAATTTCCTCACGTTTTCCATATCTGAGTAGTTGAAATTTCTCTTCAATGAACTTTATAGTTTTGAGTGGCCCATTTGGAGATTTGTACCCTTCTCGTACAACACTGATCCTTTTTCAGAATCCAGTGACTGGTCATTTGATGAGAATGCGTGTCAGGACATTGCTCCTGACGAATAAATTACCGTCTTTGTATTAGTATTAATGAAGCCACTCGAGGTGAAACATATTTTTATTAAATGCCTTCAGCTGTGTTTCGCCATTCATATTCTGTTAGTATCACCATACATAGGCTCCAACCTCATAGGATGATTTTCCTATCATACTCCAACACTCGTGGTGAGTTTTAGGAAAAGGGGAGATGAAATCAGCGGATTTACTATCACAGGTACTGTCGTGTTTGATGAAGCTGTAGCAGGTGTAAGTCAGCACAAAACCAGCATGTCGGGCACTATGTGGTAACCCTGGGTGGAAACGTGCCCATCCACACCCTATATTCTTTTACTTGCAGAAGGAGGAGTAAAATTGCAAGATATTGCAGGAAGGGTCCTTGTTATCCATTCCCAAGAGAGCCTCCAGTGTGGTGCGGCAGGAAGCCCGGACCAAGATAATCATGAAGGCAGCCATCCAGTCGAGTCTCCATACAATATTCTCTTCACGAGATGAAAAAAAAAAGTCATTCATTGACAATATGATGGTGAAGGTCTTTTAATTACCAGATTACTTCCCATTCTTTAAGCGGCATATGACCCCATCGAGCTTACTCTTCCACCCCTCCGCCCCCCATAATATTTATGGCGGCAGACACAATTGTTGTGGTGAGTTCTTGGCCCGGTCAGGTAACTTGAGCGTGCTACACCATAGAAAAAACGTTGTAAAGACAAACTGATAAAAAGATACTATATCAGAATGAAAACATTTATAGCAACAAGCAAGTTGTGTCTCGCCCAACACCACAGCTGCCTCCTTACATTCTATTCTTCCTTGTCGGAGTTCATAGGTTCAAACTTATAGCATTACACATTTGTGTCAAAGAATATGTGTGATATATGTGAGAGATACAGCAGGATTTATAAAAAAAAATGGAGATCTTCGAGCCCTGATCTTGTCAACAAAATCTTATAGGAATTTGGGTCGAATATACCAGCAGTTTCCTTACTTAGAATATCTTAGCAAGGAGGTTAGACAGATATATTGGGTATGACAAGGACCTGCCTGACGTGAGCCAATAGATTTACTGAAGTACTGTTATAAAGCCCTTAACCCCCCCCCCCCACCACAGAAACCTTAAACCCCCATCTGAACACCTGCCACGCCCTTCCTATTTTAACTAGCATTTCCCTCCTCTAACACACTTTTTCTTGCAAACTCGTACTCATTCCGCGACAGTTAAATTTTCCCAATTCCAAAATTCCCCTCCAGCTTATAGGAAGTAACCCCCTCCACTCACTCTTTCCCATCACAAGAGTGGTGTTCGTGGCTCAGTTCGCAGAGTCCTCAGGGACCGGAGATAGCTTCCCGGCACCGGTGAAGTGTTAATAATAATAATAATAATAATAATAATAATAATAATAATAATAATAATAATAATAATAATAATAATAATACCTTGTACTTGCGGTCCCTGTTCACCTAGCAGTCACTAGGCACCCGGGTGTTAGTCGACTGTTGTGGGTCGCATCCTAAGAACCTCAATGGAAATAAGAGTTCCCAATAACGAACTGACTTTATTGGGTTAACCTGGGTGGCTAATCCTTTGGGTTGAAAATCCCAACAAAATCTTATCTTACTTCCCTCTCCGGGATGCCACATAGGACCCGGTTTCGATTCCCTGACACGGAAAAAACATAGGACCCGGTTTCGATTCCCTGACACGGAAAAACATACGGGCAAGTTTCCTCGCACCCCTGCTGCTCCTGCCCTCCTAGCCTGTCGCCCCTGCCCTCCTAGCCTGTCGCCCCTGCCCATCTAGCTGTAAAAATGGGTATCTGTGTATTAGCCGACTGTTGTGAGTCGTACCCAAGGGAAAAAATGTTAGAAAGCTCCAGTCCCGGAATGTTTTCTTTGTAAGAAAATACTCCAGTTCTGTATATTAGAAACTCTAGTAGTTACTGGAAGATAGCAAGTGCTTAGTAAAAGATGTATGTGTGCCTAATAATGTTGATTAAAATGCTCCGTCTCTCTTCGCTCACACTACAGCAATTAGTTACTGTAGCGTGGGCGAAGTTGCTGCCAGTAGGCTGCTGACTGACTAGCAACTTACAGTATAACCAACAGCCTATTATCTAGTAGAATAATATCTAACCAGCAGCCTACTATCTGATTAGTAGCCCTACTATCCAACTAGCAGGCTATCTAACGACAAACGTGGAAAAGAACACTTGTGTATAGTTTAGGACATTTATTAAACGCAACGTTTCGACACGAGTGGCTTCATCAGTCCAAATGATGAACCTACCCTAATAAATGTCCTGAACAGTACACGAGTGATCTTTGCCACGCTACAGCAGCCAAGTACCGCACAAAAGTTAACCTGTGTCTCTATCTCACTGCCCACACATCAGCTACTACGGGCGTGGGTGACGAGCAGAAGGCGACGGGAGGAGGAGCGACCTGACAGCTTCCTGGAGAAGATGGCAATGGCGGGGCAGGTGCGGGAGGCAGATGACACCAACCACACCTTCTGCTGCGGCGCTCTCAAGGGCTACTTCGCAATTGATACAACCAAACCTGCGCACTACAAGGTGAGGGGGACGGAGGTGATGACGAGGGTGGTAGAGACGGTGTAAGAAGATGGGATGGGAGATGATGGAGGGAGAAAATGAAAGAATGAGTAAGGGTCGAGAGAGAGAGGGAAGGAAGGGGCAAAGAAAGAAGGGAAGCAGGATATATATATATATATATATATATATATATATATATATATATATATATATATATATATATATATATATATATATATATATATATATATATATTATATATTGTGTTGTGTTGTTGTGTGTGTTGTGTGTGTGTGTGTACTCGCCTAATTGTACTCACCTAATTGTGGTTGCAGGGGTCGAGACTCAGCTCCTGGCCCCGCCTCTTCACTGATCGCTACTGGGTCCTCTCTCTCTCTTCTTCCTGAGCTTTGTCATACCTCTTCTTAAAACTATGTATGGTTCCTGCCTCCACTACTTCACTTGCTAGGCTATTCCACTTGCTGACAACTCTATGACTGAAGAAATACTTCCTAACGTCCCTGTGACTCGTCTGAGTCTTCAGCTTCCAGTTGTGACCCCTTGTCCCTGTGTCCCCTCTCTGGAACATCCTATCTCTGTCCACCTTGTCTATTCCCCGCAGTATCTTGTATGTCGTTATCATGTCTCCCCTGACCCTTCTGTCCTCCAGTGTCGTCAGTCCGATTTCCCTTAACCTTTCCTCGTACGACATTCCCTTGAGCTCTGGGACTAGCCTTGTTGCAAATCTTTGTACTTTCTCTAACTTCCTGGCGTGCTTGACCAGGTGTGGGTTCCAGACTGGTGCTGCATACTCCAGTATGGGCCTAACATACACAGTGTACAGTGTCTTGAACGATTCCTTATTAAGGTATCGGAACGCTATTCTCAGGTTTGCCAGGCGCCCGTATGCTGCAGCGGTTATTTGGTTGATGTGTGCCTCCGGTGATGTGCTCGGTGTTATGGTCACCCCAAGGTCTTTCTCCCTGAGTGAGGTCTGTAGTCTTTGTCCACCTAGCCTATACTCTGTCTGCGGTCTTCTTTGCCCCTCCCCAATCTTCATGACTTTGCATTTGTCTGGATTGAATTCGAGAAGCCAGTTACTGGACCACATGTCCAGCCTGTCCAGGTCTCTTTGCAGTCCTGCCTCATCCTCGTCCGATTTAATTCTTCTCATCAACTTCACGTCATCTGCGAACAGGGACACTTCAGAGTCTATTCCTTCCATCATGTCGTTCACATATATCAAAAATAGCACTGGTCCTAGAACTGACCCCTGTGGGACCCCGCTCGTAACAGGCGCCCACTGTGATACCTCTTCACGTACCATGACTCGTTGCTGCCTCCCTGTCAGGTATTCCCTTATCCATTGCAGTGCCCTCCCTTTTACATGCGCCTGATCCTCCAGCTTCTGCACTGATCTCTTGTGGGGAACTGTGTCAAAGGCCTTCCTGCAGTCTAGGAAAACGCAATCTACCCACCCCTCTCTCTCGTGTCTTAATTCTGTTACCTTGTCATAAAACTCCAGGAGGTTTGTGATACAAGATTTGCCTTCCATGAACCTATGCTGGTTTTCATTTATAATCTTGTTCCTTTCCAGGTGTTCGACACTCTCCTCCTGATAATCTTCTCCATGACTTTGCACACAATACATGTCAGAGACACAGGTCTGTAGTTTAGTGCCTCGTTTCTGTTTCCTTTCTTAAATATGGGGACTACATTAGCTGTCTTCCATTTATCAGGTAGTTGCCCAGTTTCAAGGGATGTGTTGAAGATTGTTGTTAGAGGCACGCACAGCATCTCTGCTCCTTCTCTAAGGACCCATGGGGAGATGTTGTCCGGTCCCATCGCCTTTGAGGTGTCAAGGTCACTTAAGAGCTTCTTCACCTCCTCCTCAGTTGTTCGTATGTCATCCAACACTTGTTGGTATATTCCCTCTTGATGTTCCCTTCTGTGCTGTCTTCCCACAGCCCTTCCTGTGTCTACTGTAAAAACTTCCTTAAATCTCCTGTTCAGCTCCTCACATACCTCCTGATCATTTCTTGTGAGTTCTCCACCTTCTGTCCTTAATCTGATCACCTGGTCTTTGACTGTTGTCTTCCTCCTGATGTGGCTATACAACAGTTTCGGGTCAGTCTTGATTCTCGATGCTATGTCATTTTCATACTGTCGCTGGGCCTCCCTCCTTACCTGTGCGTACTCATCCCTGGCTCTGCGACTGATCTCCCTATTTTCGTGTGTTCTCTGCCTTCTGTACTTTTTCCATTCTCTATTGCACTTTGTTTTTGCCTCCTTACACCGTCGGGTAAACCAGGGGCTCGTTCTGGTCTTCCCGTTGTTACTGTTGCCCTTGGGAATAAACCTTTCCACTGCCTCCTTGCATTTTGTTGTTACATATTCCATCATTTCATTTACTGGCTTTCCTGCCAGTTCTCTGTCCCACTGGACCTCCCGCAAGAAGTTCTTAAACCCTATGTAGTCCCCTCTTTTATAGTCAGGCTTTTCCCATTCAACTCCTGTTATTCTCTCCACTTGCAGCTCTACTATGTATTCAAAGCACAGAACCACGTGGTCGCTAGCTCCTAGGGGACTCTCATACTTGATGTCCTCAATGTCTGAGCTGCCCAGGGTGAACACAAGGTCCAATCTTGCTGGTTCATCCTCCCCTCTCACTCTGGTAGTGTCCTTAACATGTTGGTGCATGAGGTTTTCCAGCACCACGTCCAACATCCTGGCTGTGTGTGTGTGTGTGTGTATGTATATATACACTAGTATATAATACAAAGAGAGAGAGAAAACGGAAAAAAAAATTAATAGATCTCCTCGCTAATTCGTACACACTATATATACCCTTATAGAGATATTTCTTTCAGCGTGTAGAGTTTACTTTAATCCCTAGTTTAGGAATGGAAGTAGTTTAGTGATTCAAGTACTCTTGTCTGGTGGGCTGGATAGGTTACCTTGTACCCTTGATGATCCTCGTGTAGTTGATTTGCTTAAAATCCCATTAACCAACCTTCGCATATCATTATAAATGTCGGCTCAAAAAATTCTTTCAGTGGTTTACTGGTCTCTTACACTTTAGCTTACATGTTGTCTAGTTGTTGCTTGTAGTGACCAATTCAGTCCAAACGTTTCTGAATCCGTTCTTATTAATCCCGAATCCGTTCTCAGTTATTTTCTTCTTGGCAGTTTCTATTATTGGCATCTAAAACATTATAAACAACTTCTAAATCCTTTTCCCGTATCCTTGTTTATCTTGGAAATTAATAATCCTCATGTAAACAAAATTTCATAATTAAAAATCCTCTGACATTATCACAATTCTTTTCAGTTAATATTTATAGAAACTATAAAAAATCCTCAGGAATCATCTTTCCGTTCACGTTCTTCCTTGCAATTAATTCTCATACATGCTAAATCCTAAAACTCTAATTAATCTCACCGGACACAGTGAATGCTCGTGACATTGAATCCCCTTCCAGAGGTAGTCTGTTGGGTTTGAAGCCTATCGACTGCACTGAGGGCATTATGGATGCAATTCGCTTACATCAACAGTGTTGCAACACTTAAAATAGAGCTGAAAGTCAATTTTCCGTGTTTATATACTGAGAGATATCTCTCGTTGGAGAATACGCTGATAAACACCTGTCCATTTATATACATTCACAGGTACGCACCACTTGGTGTGTATAAATTGAGAGATACACAACCCTAGGTGTATATGAAGAATGCATATCTCGATGTATGCGAAATGCAAACCTCTCTGTGAGAGATACACACCTGTCGATGTGTATACCATGAGAGATACAGACCAGTCGGTGTATATACCGAGGGATACATATCTTAGTATACATACACTGAAATATAGACGTCTTGGTTTCTAAAAATGCATATCACTCGTATTGAGAGGTACATAAAAGACCAGACGAAATGGCTTTTTTGGGATTTTCCTGTGTTACTAACCCTCAGGGTTAGTAATATGCATAAAATCTACCTCTCGGTATATATACCTGGAGTGGTACACACCCCTCGGTATATATGCTCTGTCCGATATGGTAAGTATAACAAAAACTTTCTCCTAGAATGTACAAAAAAGAAAGATGTAATCCCAGAGATGAATCCATATCTTGTAATTTTAGAAAATATAACCTGACTTTAACCGTCTATGATTCCATTAGACACTTTTGTGCAACTCTTGGATGTCTTTAATGTGGAGACTTTTCCCCAACCAGTGGTTCTAACTGCCCCAATACAGAGAAAAATACAAGATACTGGAAGACGTCTCTCCTGTGAAGATACCTAAGTATTGCACATGTCTCCTGTTCATCTGGTTGCCAGTTTTGTATACCATTTGTGTAATAATATCTATAAATTCCCCTCTCAACAACTATTTCCTCCTCTTCCTCTGCCATTAAGTATGATGTTATTTTGCAGTGGTTATTGGTAGTAACGGCAGCGTTGCTATACAACTGGGTTATGATCATTGGTAGAGCGGTGTTCTGGGAGTTGCATAACCTGAGTCCAGGCTTGTGGCTAGCCTGTGACTACCTCTGTGACGCTGTCTACCTGGTCGATATGGTCATCAGGGCTCACGAAGGTACGTTGTCTCTCTCAGTACTCTTGCCCCTTCAGGGTCGATTATGGGCGTCAGGGCTCACGAATGTGAAACAAGGCACGTGCAGTATTAGGATATTTTAATGAGGAAAACTTTCGCTACCAATAGCTTCTTCATTCCAAACATTCTCTGAAAGTGGATTGTTTACCCAATTTGCCTACTGTAAATTCTTGATTATATCTACAACCCTTTATCTGTTTACACCCAAAATAATGGGTTATTACCCAATACATTGATTTCTTTAACTGTCTATACCACTACAAAACTCCAATGATTTGTTTCAGTAACACTGTTCGGCAGCTACTTCCACTCAAAGCTGCAAAGCAAGTGCTTCCATGTATATCCTTTATAAATCTATGTTATTAGATTCTTCTTTTCTTACAAACACACACAAAAAAAATATTTTAAAAGGGCACTGGCTAGATCTACCACAAGCTATGGTGAGGTGAGGCAGTACTCCTTAAAATCTTGTGTCTAGAGTCTCAGCAGTGACTAGCGCTAACATCTCAAGTGAAATATAATAAAATTAAAATATATAAAAAAAAACGGTTGGCCAACGGGATGCATTAAAATATGAATTAGTAAGTGCTACAGTCATTGATTTTGTTTTTAAATATATGATAAAGAGAGTTTTGAAGCTGGGACACCACGAGCATAGCTCTGCTGTTGTAGCTACAGTAGGTAAATATAAATAGGTAGTTACACGGGCCATCACGATACCCACTCTTCTGTCATAACTACCAAAGGGAAATCACTTCTCGTGCAGGTTACCTGGAGCAGGGCCTGATGGTCAAGGACCCGACCAAGCTGCGCAAGAATTACGTCAGTTCCTGGGCCTTCAAGGTGGACCTGGTGTCCATCTTTCCCACAGACCTTGTATATCTGGCCACGGGCACACGGTGTCACGTACACGTACCCTGCCCAGTCCTCGTCAGGATCAACAGACTACTGAGGTGGGTGAGAGATTATTTTCTATTACATAATTTTTACATTGTATATAATTTTTATTAAATATGAAAAATCGCATAGTCGTGCAATGCATTTCGGGCGTACAGCTGTGAGGAACATTAGTACAAATTTGTGACAATATATAACTGGAGCAAGGAATGGTAAGTTACATCTGCTGCTGACACTCCAGGCTCGTCCTTTAAGCTGCTAAATTATTGTACACTTCAGACTCGCCCTGTAAGCAGCTAGTTTGTGCACCGCAGGCTCATCCTGTGAGCAATAACTCAAAAGAACAGGATTACGAAGGTCACAACGCCCACATATCCTTTCTCTCTCCCGCAGGATACCAAGGATGGGAGAGTTCTTCGATAAGACGGAGACTCGAACCAACTTCCCGAACGCCTTCAGAATATGCAAGGTGGTGCTCTACATCCTGGTCATCATCCACTGGAATGCCTGCTTCTACTTCGCCATCTCCTACGCCATAGGCTTCGGCAGCGACGGCTGGGTGTACAAGAACATCACCATCGGCAGGAACGGCACTTTCTCCCACCAGTACATCTACAGGTAGGTCCTTAAAGAATAATAAAATCACAATACTATATCGGGAATAATTCATAAATAACCAGCACTTAGGGGAAGAAAATTATGACGACGTTTCAGTCTGTCCGTCACAACAGTTGTGACCTGACAATGGTCAAGATGAAGCGAGTAACCTCTACGGGTTATTGGTGAAAAGGTGGGTTCTTACTTGGTTACCCACACGGTTTTAGCGTTCCTTGTAATGTTATAACAGCTATTGGTTGGTCTGGGATACAAATAATCAAGTAATCACTTAAGGATACCCTTTCAGTGTACATTTGAAAGGTCGATGTTGTGCCTAACATATGTACAAGTGGGTCAGGGGATTATACAATGACAAAAGGAGGCTCATCTGCGGGTAATATCAAGGTGCCACAGTAGCCAACACAACATGCCTCTTTCTGAATATCTCTATAATTTGTCCCACTAACCAAGTATCTCTGTACAATTGTTAAATTGTTCCAATGAAACTTTCATATTACTGTATTCCCTTATCTTATTTACCTACGTTAGTCGATGTCGACGATGTCATCAGATTCAGTTATTTCTTGTAACCTTATGCCATCAGTGTTTACGTTTATCCCGGTAGCAGTGCCCTTTCTCTCTACTTAAATTGTTATAGTGGTGACACTGAAACTCAGTAAATATTTCCAGTGTTAGAGCACAACTTAAGTTTCTACGACACAAAGCATACAAACTCCTAGTAAATATTTTTCTTACCCATTGTATGGGATTCATAACCACTCACATAATTAAGATCACTATCTCTGGAAATATCGCTTGCCATGGGTTTCGATCCTACTATCACTTTTGGTGAAGCCCTTATGAACCAGACTATCCGTTCCCTGAATCAAGCCTTTCCGCCTCCCATTCCCCCAAATATAGCATGACTCCTACGTAATAATCGCTTCCAGGTGAATCAAATGATGATACTAATCTCTCCTGTCGCAGCTTCTACTGGTCAACGCTAACACTGACGACCATTGGGGAGACGCCACAGCCAGAGAAAGACGTGGAGTACTTGTTCGTGGTGGTAGACTTCCTGGTGGGAGTTCTCATCTTCGCTACCATCGTTGGCAACGTTGGCTCCATGATTACCAACATGAACGCCGCCAGAGCAGAGTTCCAGGTACGTGACATCACCTATGTCTGGACTGAGGTACATGTAGCAGTCTATTATTGAAGCACCAGGTGTAGTCGAAAACATTTAAGATTCATAACTTCTACGTTAAACCTGCGTGGTCATTCAGCATAAGCTACACAAAAAATAGGAGTAAGACGCCTAACACAAAGCAAGACAAGTAATTTCCAGGATTTTCATTTGAAATTTCACCCATCAAAGTGATGAAGCCTTGATGCTGGTGGAGAGCTCTGGATCGATGGACACTGCGTTGCCCTCTCCTTCTGTAGATTAATCCTTCTTTCTCCCTGTTCCCCAGGCGCTATATGATCCTAACTGATTTAACAATACTGGTTTTTCAGAACCGCATGGATGGAGTCAAGCAGTACATGGAGTTTCGCAAAGTGTCTAAGGACCTGGAGACGAGAGTCATCAAGTGGTTCGACTACCTCTGGAGTAACAAGCAGTCACTTGACGAGGAAGGGGTCAGTAATTGTCATCAATTAACTACTTTCATGCGGTTTGACTACCTTTTGCCAAAAAAAAACGGTCACTTGTAGAGGAATGAATTAGAAATCGCTAGTTAAAGGCTAGTTTAGAGATCATTTTATTAAAGATTACTTTCCTAGAATATAATAGTTTTTGGAAAGTTAGGTATCCCCGAAGGGGTACCTATTCAAGGTTAGTAATTGAAATAAATCGTTATAATAATAATTCAGGTATGTCTTGCTACTTCTACTTACACTTAGGTCACACTACACATACATGTACACGTTTATTTATACACACTCATCTGAGTTTTCTTTGATTTTATCTTAATAGTTCTTGGTCTTATTACTTTTCCTTTTATATCCATGGGGAAGTGGAATAAGAATCTTTCCTCCGTAAGCCATGCGTGTTGTAAAAGTCAACTAAAATGCCGGGAACAATGGGCTAGTAACCCCTTTTCCTGTAAAGATTACTAAAAAGAATAAGAAAAAGAAAATTGTCAAAGTGGGAAGTCTGAATGTGCGTGGATGTTGTGCAAATGATAAGAAAGAGATGATTGTGGATGTTTTTGAATGAAAGAAGCTGGATGTCCTGGCTTTAAGTGAAACGAAACTGAAGGGGGTGGGAGAGTTTCAATGGAGAGGAATAAATGGATTAGGTCAGGGGTTTCAAATAGAGTTAGAGCTAAAGAAGGAGTAGCAATAATGTTGAAGGGTAAGTTATGGCAGAAAATAGGGACTACAAAAAGTATAAATTCAAGGATTATGTGGAGTAAAATAAAGATTGGATGTAAAAGTGGGTTATAGTAAGCGGTATGCACCTGGAGAAGAGAGAAAGTGTAGAGGAGAGAGAGAGATTCTGGGAAATGTTGAGTGAATGCGTGGGGAGTTTTGAATCAAGTGTGAGGTAATGGTGGTTGGGGATTTCAATGCTAAAGTGGGTAAAAATGTTATGGAGGGAGTAGTAAGAAAAATTTGGGGGGGCCGGGGGTAAATGTAAATGGGGACCTTTAATTTGAACTATGTTAGAAAGAGATTTGGTAATAAGTAATACATATTTTATGAAAAAGAGGATAAATAAATATACAAGGTATGATGAGCACGTAATGAAAGTAGTTTGTTAGATTATGTTTGGTGGATAAGAGGTTGATGGGTGGGATCCAGGATGTACATGTTTATAGAGGGTCAACTGATATATCGGATCATTATTAGTTGTAGCTACAGTTAGAGTAAGAGGTAGATGGGAAAAGAGGAAGGTGCAACAACAAGTAAGAGGGGGGTGAAAGTGTATAAACTAAGGGAGGAGGAAGTTCGGGGAGATATAAGCGACTGTGGCAAAAAAGGTGGGCTAGTGCAAAGTAAAGTAGTGGGGGGGTTGAAGAGGGTTGAAATAGTTTAAAAAATGCAGTATTAGAATGGGGGGCAGAAGTTTGTGGTTATAGGAGGTGGGGCAGGTGGAAAGAGGAGTGATTTGGGGGAATAAATGAAGTAAAGGGTGTGATAAAAGAGAAAAAGGTACTTAGGGAGAGGTTTTTACAAAGCAGAAGTGTTATAAGAAAAGCAGATATATGGACAGTAAAAGAAAGGTGAAGAGAGTGGTGAGAGAGTGCAAAAGGAGACAGATGATAGAGTGGGAGAGGCACTGTCAAAAAATTTTTTAATGAAAATAAGAAAAAATTTTGGAGTGAGTTAAACAATTAAGAAAGCCTAGGGAAAGTATGGATTTGTCAGTTAAAAACAGAGTAGGGGAGTTATAATGGGGAGAGGGAGGTATTAGGTAGATGGCGAGAATATTTTCCAGGAAATTTTTAAATGTTGAGAAAGAAAGGGAGGTGGTAATTTCATGCACTGGTCGAGGAGGATACCATCTTTTAGGAAGTAAGAAGAGCAGAATGTAAGTGGGGGGGGAGGTACGTGAGGAAATTACGTAGAATGAAAGTGGTAAAGCAGCTGGAACTGATGGGATCATGACAGAAATGTTAAAAGCAGGGGGATATAGTGTTGGAGTGGTTGGTACTTTTGTTTAATAAAGTATGAAAGAGGGGAAGGTACCTAGGGATTGGCGGAGAGCATGTATAGTCCCCTTATTTATAAAGGGAAAGGGGACAAAAGAGATTGTAAAAAATTATAAGAGGAATAAGTTTATTGAGTATACCAGGAAAAGTGTATGGTAGGGTTATAATTGAAAAGAATTAGAGGAAAGGGACAGAATGTGGGATTGCGGATGAGCAAGGAGGTTCAGAGTGGGTAGGGATGGTAGTTTCAAGTGTTTACATTGAAGCATATATGTGAACAGAAATTTAGATAAAGGTAGGGAATTTTTAATTGCATTTATGGATTTGGGAAAAGGCATATATAGAGTGGATAGGGGAGCAATGTGGCAGATGTTTGAAAGTAAAATGGAATAGGTGGTAAGTTACTAAATGCTGTAAAGAGTTTTTATGAGGATAGGGGAGGCTCAGGTTGGGGTGTTAGAAGAGAGGGAGACTACTTCCCGGTAAAAAGTAGGTCTTAACAGGGATGTGTAATGTCACCATGGTTTTTAATATATTTTAGATGGGGTTGTAAAAAAAAGTAAATGCTAGGGTTTCGGGAGAGGGGTGGGATTAAATATGGGGAATCAAATTTTAAATTGGGAATTAACAACAGTTACTTTTTGCTGATGATACTGTGCTTATGGGAGATTCTAAAGAAAAAATTGCAAAGGTTAGTGGATGAGTTTGGGAATGTTGTGGGAAAGGTAGAAAGTTGAAAGTGAACATAGAAAAGAGTAAGGTGATGAGGTATCAAATGATTTAGATAAAGAAAAATTGGGTATCAAATTGGGGGGGAGGAGTATGGAAGAAGTAAATGTTTTCAGATACTTGGGGGTTGACGTGTCGGGGGGATGGATTTATGAAGGATGAGGTTAATCAAGAATTGAGAGGGAAAAAAGGTGATGATGCATTGAGGTATATTGGAGTCAAAAACGTTTCTATGGGGGCAAAGAAGGGAATGTATGAAAGTAAAAGTAGTACCAACACTCTTATATGGGTGTGAAGCTTGGGTGGTAAATGCAGCAGCGAGGAACGGTTAGAGGCAGTGAGATGTCCTGTTTAAGGGCAATGTGTGGTGTAAATATTATGCAGAAAATTCGGAGAGTGGGAAAATTAGGAAAAGGTGTGGATTAATAAAAGTATTAGTCAGAGGGCAAAGAGGGGGTTGTGGGGGTGGTTTGGTCATTTAGAGAGAATGGATCAAGTAGAATGACATGGAAAGCATATAAATCTATAGGGAAGGAAGGCTAGGTAGGGGTTTGTCCTCGAAAAAGGGGTTTGGGGAGAGGGGGGAAAGGAGGTTTTGTGGGCGAGGGGGGTTGGGCTTCCAGCAAGCGTGCGTGAGCGTGTTAGATAGGGGTGAATGGAGACGAATGGTACTTGGGACCTGACGATCTGTTGGAGTGTGAGCAGGGTAAATTTAGTGAAGGGATTCAGGGAAACTGGTTATTTTCATATAGCCGACTTGAGTCCTGGAAATGGGAAGTACAATGCCTGCACTTTAAAGGAGGGGTTTGGGATATTGGCAGTTTGGAGGGATATGTTATGTATCTTTATACGTATATGCTTCTAAACTGTTGTATTCTGAGCACCTCTGCAAAAGCAGTGATTATGTGTGAGTGTGGTGAAAGTGTTGAATGATGATGAAAGCATTTTCTTTTTGGGGATTTTCTTTCTTTTTTGGGTCACCCTGCCTCGGTGGGAGACGGCCGACTTGTTGAAAAAAAAAATTAAAAGGCGTGGAACGGTAACCCAGTGGAAGGCCTCGGTCAGACCCACAGCTCCAGCTGTGGGTCATCAAATGACTGAGACCCGCGTCTAGAAACACTTGTCGTGTTTCCTGATTTACCTAACCTAACTTGACCTAACCTTTAAGTGATTGACAGAATTTTTTCTTCCAAGATTTTCGTGTATAACTTGTGAACTACTTATCCGATCATCTTCAAATTTTCAGTGTTGGTGTACTGTCACTAGGGAAAAGTTCATGCAGCTATTGACATGTGCATGAACCCTCTGGTCAGTTTCATGGAGCCCGTTAACTGCAATAACTTGAGAAGGCCTATTGTGATCGGTTCCAAACTTCCTTCATGGGTGTATCTTACTTAAACAAAGGTTGGGATTGTTAATGGTGTGTAAGTGCTAATACGGCAATTTTATTTTCAAAATGGCATTTTAGGTAAAACTACAATATGCCTCTTAAAAACTACTTCAGTCTTTAATAAGCTTAAACTGTATATCATTACATACTGTATCATGCCACGCATACATTCACGTATACATGTATACGTACATGCATACATGTATACATTCACGTATATATGCAGGTACTCAACACATGCATATAACACTGGCATATATGCATACATTTATGAACATATATTGATACGAATACACTCGTATACATGAACATAAAAACTCAGGCCTTTTTTCTAATGACAAGAGCCTTTGATAAATAGCAACTGACATATTCACAATTATACATATACACATGTATACTTACCATATGTATTCAATATGAACACAAATACATATGAATATGTATACATATGCGCAACTATAAGAAGAAATCCAAATATTCTTCCTTGAAGCCTTTTTATCCACTTCTCCGAGGCTATGGGTCCCACAATATATATATATATATATATATATATATATATATATATATATATATATATATATATATATATATATATATATATATACATATACATATATATATATATATATATATACTATAATAATATATATATATATATACATACATATATATATATTATATATATATATATATATATATATATATAATATATATATATATACATTATATATATATATATATATATATATATATATATAATATATATATATATATATATATATTATATATATATATATATATATATATATATTCGTCAACAACTGCCTGGCTGGGCGAATCCCAGAAGAAATTTCTTTTTTGGA